TATTTGTCAGGGAAGGGCTAGGCGGGCAGGACATGCTGGGCTGTGGTAGGCTCCTTGCTCTCTTCTGTTTGAGTCTGGCTTGAAGAGGCAGACACCCCTAGGCAGGCCTTGGGGCATGACACACCTGTTCTCACCCTGCCTTTTTCTCCCCACAGCGTGGTGTCAACACAGACAGTGGCAGTGTCTGCAGAGAGGCCTCCTTTGAGGGCATCAGCAAGTGAGTCCCTCCTCCACCCACTCCCGCCTTTGCCAGCTCATCTTTCCCAGGCTGGCCACATGCCAGGGAAGGGCGCTAAAAATGGATTTGATCAAGTGTTTGGAGGAAAGGTGTCCGTCTTTTACCATAAGGAAAACACCCCTCCTTGTTGGGCTCCATCTTGGAAGAGCCCTGGGAACCCCGGGCACTGTGTTGTGGCAAGAGTAGCTGTTTGCTTTCCTTTGTTTCTGTTGCTTTTTTTACACTGATGGATTATGTGTGTGTGTATGTGGGGGTGAGTGTATGTGCCATGATGTCTGGAGGTCAGAGGAAAGCCGGTGGTTCTGGTTCTTTCCTTCCACCATGGAGATCCTGGGAGTTGAACTGGGGTTGTCAGGCTTACTGGCAAAGCTTCTTTACCCTTTAAGCCAAATTATCCGAATCCACAGCCTTGTTTTGTTTTCTGTTTAGCCTAGGCTGGCCTAGAAGTAGCCCTGACTCTGAGATTTGTAGGTTTGTTTTGTTTATATACCCCATCCCCAGTCCTGGGCCAGCCCAGTTCTCAGCTACTCCCAGCGTCTCCCACTGCCCTAATCTTTTACTCACTCCCCTGCTGTTAAGCTCTGGGTTGAGCCCCTAAACCCTGCTTAGGGAATTGGCTCCTTCTCTGGGCAGGAGGGTAATAGGCCCATCTCCTTGTCACCCCTCACTCCTGCCCCCAGAGAGTGCTGCCAGCTAGCTGCACATGGGTTGCCAGGTGAGACTGGGTCCTAGGAGATCTGGGCGCCGGCGGCTACTGTAATAGTTGGGTCCTTGAGGCAGCACACAGTACTTAAGCCTGCTCCTGCACCTGAGCCACAGTGTCCCCAAGCACAAGTTCTCCATAGCCACTTTGTCCTCTGTTGTCCTTTTGTGGCCTGAGGTGGTACCGGAAGCTGCTCCTGGTGATTATGTCTGAGTCTCAGCCACAGGAGGGGATCTGTGTGTGGAGGGGATCTGTGCTTGCGCTCGCCCGCTCGCCCGTGATGGAGGAGTGATTAGAAGGGATTATAAGCTCATGAATATGCATCATTTCTCCACCGCTAAGAGCCGTGGGGCGGAGGCACTAGGTGTCCAGTTTGCTTCTTTCTTGGCACAAGCTGCCGCTTCCTCTTGGGGATTTGCCCTAAGTGGCCTGACGGTGACCAGCCCAGCTTGCGGAGATGCCAACTGCCATGTCACTGTCTTCTTCCCCTAACACCCAGCGCTGCCAGGTGTCTGCTCACCTTTCTCATACCGTCTGCAGCCTCTGCCTGGGTCTCAGCCATGTGGGAAGCACCCTGTGCTGTGCTGCAATTGGGTGGCTGGCTCTCGCTGACTGGCTCTGTGACTTTGGCCACCACATGTTAACACAGCACTGCTTGGGTGATGGGGACCAAAGGAGACTGTTGGGGGCCAGAGCCTGCACGGTAGCTCAAATCTGTTACCCCGGGAGCCTTGATCTCCCCAACTCTCTGGTAGCCAAGTGGACCCAGCATGGTCCGTGGCCTTATTTGTGTTTGGCCATAAGCTGCGGTGTCTGGACCCTGCCACAGAGGATGCTGAGATTCTCCTAGACCCGGGTCTGGTGGATTATGTCACTGGTGAGGTCCTGGTGTGAAGCTGGGGCAGACCTCTGCTGCACTAGGAAGTTTCACTGAGAACAGCAGTTGGAACCCACACGGCCATCACAATCCCTGCGGACCAGAAGGGAGGCCTTATTCTGTCTCACTGAGAGGATTTCCTGCTGCAAACTCATTCCTTGCTCTCCTCTTAGGAGATCCCAGCTTCTGCCCCTTGCACCTCCCCTGAGTCTCTTGGGTCCTTCTCAGAACCCTAGGGAGCTTGTGGCCTGCAAGCCTCCACCCCAGGACATCTTGAGGCTGGTCTGTCTGGTTTTGTTCTCGAGAAAAGATCTAGCTGTGTAGCTTAGGCTGGCCTGGAAGTCACAAGTCTCCTGCTATAGGTGTGCACCACCGTGTCTAGCTTAGGCACCTTCTCACAGTCGTCCTGCTCATGGGACGCACATACATGGTGGGGGCTGCCTGTGGTGTTCCCCAGGCCACACAGCAGCTCTCTGTGCTGGGTATGGGCTGGTTTTGTTTCTGTCTGTCTGCTCATCCCTGCTTTGGAGTGTCTGGCCTGTGTGTGGTACCCATATCCCCTGTCCTCCTTGGTCCAAAGTAGGCTTGTCCCTTACACCCATTCTCTATGGGCCTCGCCTCTCACTTTGTCTCTTTATGTAATTTTCAGGTGTTCCTATGCTGGGACAGGAGCCTTTATCAGGCGTCCTCTAGTGCCAGCAGCACTGACCTGAGGTCCTGGCCATTGGTTCACGTGCCCGTAGCTCCTCCCAGTTAAAAGTTGTGTCTGTGTCCCTGGGCTCTGGCTGCATCCCAGTCCCATGCCTCTCACCAGTCAGGTAGCAAGTCACCTACTAGTCACCTACTAGTCACCTACTAGTTTCTGTGCCAGGCTAGGGAGAGACCTTGTCTCCAACGGCCACCGTGACTCAAGATTGCATTTTCCGGCCTGCCGAGTGTTCCAGCTGTTTGCTGGATAATAATAGCCTGTTTCCTAAGCAAGATGAATCTTGCTGTTGTTGCCCTAGTTTCCAATGTGCAACTGCTCTGTCCCCTGTCACCTCTCACTGCCTGGATGAAGCCCCACATTCCTGAGGTTTCTGCTTCTGACACCTTTAGATGTCTCTCTTGAAACACCTCCATCTTGGATTTCTGTGTGTCCTTCTACCTAGATGGATACTCGGGTTTGGCGCTCTCTCTCTGTCCTGCCATGCCTCCCAGGCTGTTTCCCCTTGACCTGCATGAAGGAGGGGTATCGGTGGCCTTGGTAGTCTACCTGTCCCAGACCCTCTCGACTGTGATCCAGCCAGGGAGTTGGTTTGTGACTTTCCTTCCAAGTGTGGCTTCATGGAGTTACCTGCCTGGGGTACAGTCCCATGTGTGTAGCCTCAGGCCTTCCTCAACAACCCAGGACCAGAGACAGGCCTTCTGCGGCCCACAGAAGGGTGTGCACCTGCTCTGAGAGTGGTGGGGACAGGGCAGAGGGAGGTGGAGGTGAGGACGGTGGTTGACGTGCCAGAGGTCAGAGAGAGTTTGCTAGAGTCGCAAGTCATTGGGCTTACAAGAGGCTGTGGCTTCTGATTATTCTGTGATCTTGGTGTTGAGTGAGGGGTCTGCCCATGGTGCCATACTAGGGGCCTTGTTGGATCAGAGACAAGTTCCAGGGAGCATTTAGAAAAAGGCCTCTCCGTGAACTCGGGTGGACATATGGAGGAGGGGTCGGGGACTCATTTCGAGGCCTTGCTGTGAGTACAAGGGCTGGTCTGTAGGCTGGAGCGGGGGAGGCAGAGATAGCGGGGACAGACCTGCAGTGGAGGGGACTTGAGATGTCTTCTTGTGAACTCCGGGCATCTGGGGCCCCTGGAACACTCAGCTCCTGCAACAACAGACCAAGCCAGATGTCATGGATCTTTGTTAGTGTCTGAGGAAGTAGATTTTAGGGCAGAGTTTCCTGAGACAGGGAAGCTGACCATGAAGGTTCTACTGGGTGTTCACGTGGCCTGAGCTGAGGGTCACCCATCCATCCTTCCATCCATCCATCCATCCATCCATCCATCCATCCATCCGAGTCAAGACGTGTAATGGGGATGCTTCCCTGGCACGAGACCATGCCCCTTCTAGACAGGCAGAACCTGTTCCCATGAGTTCCGGGTGGAGACAGCAAATTACAGAGTTCGCCATTTCATGCCGTCGTCTGAGAGAGAAATACGGTCCTTATTTCACATCAGCTGGCTATTGAGAATAAGCATATTTCTTATCTTTTGGCATTTAGTTAAATTGCCTTGCATATTTGAAGACAATTGGTTACAAATTAATTCCATTTAAATAAGCAGTTAAATATGAAATGCTGAATTTGGGACTTGTTAATGCAAGGACATTAATATTCAACGATGTGAATTTTAAAACCCAGGAAGTTAGAGGGACATTATTAAAACTTGATGATTTACAGCAAAATGCCAGTTTGTGGTGTGGGGACCATGACCTTTGGGTAACAGTTAACTTGCATATCAAGTTAATATTTAGGATTGGATTTCAAATTATG